TCCAGGTCTGCTTGCAGCTGTTCCCTGCCCTCCGGCGTGTCCACTTCTCCCCACAGCTTTGTGTCATCTGCAAACTTGGACAGAGTACACTTCACTCCCTCGTCCAAGTCGCTGATGAAGACATTAAAGAGTATCGGTCCAAGGACTGAGCCCTGCGGGACCCCACTGCCCACACCCTTCCAGGTCGAAACTGACCCATCCACCACGACTCTCTGGGTACAACCCTCTAGCCAATTCATCACCCACCAGACCATGTAGTCATCCATATGGGCAGTCCCAGAAGTGGTCAATTGTTTCTGCCTTCCACTGGCAGGTTTGGCTTGGGCAGTTAAATGGACCTCTCTGCCCTGCACTGTTTCTCCATGCCCGTATGGGGAGGGCCCAGTGGGCTGCCTGCCAATTCAGTCTCAATGCTCCTTTTGCAGGTCTTTGTGGAAGATTTGCTCCCACACAGCCTGGCAGCTGTCAGTACATGGGTGATAAGAGGTCTCTTGCCCTTACCATCTCCTTTATCTGGTGGTGTCTCACCAGGGTCACTAGGTCCATATCATGCAGCTAGTATTTTTCCCAGAAACATGTTAGAACCTCGGAGAACCATGGGGATACCATGGCCCACAGGTTCCCATTGGTCATGACGGAAGTGGGGTGCGCTGTGGCTCCATTCATCTTGCAGGTTCCCCTGCGCCATTCCCCACCACTTGCACAACATGCAAGATTAATGGAGCCACTATGAACTCTACTTCTGCCATGAATTTGGTAGGTCCCTAGTCATCATGTACACCTGCCACTGTCGTAGCAGGTGCCCTGAAAAATACTTGACAAAGAGGGCTGTTTTGGATTCTGCCCCTGTTGCCAGTTAGTAAATCTTGCTTATGTACTTGGCCCAGAGGAAGAGTAGGACATCTGGCATTCTTCTGTCTCTGGACTGTTTCACTTTGTGCAGCTTGGTCCTCGCCACTTGCTTCCATGTGGCGTTCCGAATGAAACACATGGCTCTTTGGATTCTGTGAATGACTTGCTCTGAGGGAGGAGAGACTAGGGAGGTGTACAGAAGCATCAACAGCAGCATTACCTTCATCAGCACCACGTGCCCGCCGCCGCCACCCCCCCCCCAACAAACAATAAAATTGCCATAGCCCCAGTCTTTGTTTGACCTTGGCCTCTGTCTTTTCACATGCCATCTGTCCTGTCAACTCTGGGTCAAATTCCACCCCAAGGATCTTTACCCCTCTCACAGAGGACGGAGACCCCCAGCGGCAACAGGTCCTCATGATTGCCCAGGACTAGACAGGTGCTTTTGATCAAAAATATGGGACAAAAATACTAGTAACAACCTACCACAAAGCTAGATTAATGCAACCCATTTGGTAATGGACATTATGCTTAGTCTACCTCAGCACCGACTCTTTTCCAAGTCAGTGAATGGTAATGGTAAACCATTACACTGCATACGTTTTTACTTCCTCTTCACTCCCACTGCCGAGCTGTGCCTTTCTTTCCCATTTCCAATAATTCCTGATCCTTCACCAGCCTTAAATATCTGGAAAATAATCAAATAGGGCCCCAGACAGTTCACCCAAAATACCTGTCGCCTCTTCTCTCAGTCTGTTACATGAGGTGGAGTCAGACCAGGCTGCCCTGCACATCATCTGCATATACATTTTAGAGGCTATCGGGACTCACAACAACACCTAGTTCCAGTCAGGAGTGTGGGGCTAACTAGCACACGGATCATTTGTTGGGGGTATCTGAAGTACACACACACACACACACACACACACACACACACACACCTGAGCTATGGGGTCACCATGGCTTGAAATACTGTTGGTTCTGCTGGGGCCTAGCCCAATTAGCTATATGGTAACTCATGAGCCTTTTGGCTTTAGACTAATACAAACTGTGCATGAT